CCCCCGGAGCTTGAAGTGTGAGCTCATGTCTGTCATCAACAGGTGAACAACATTAACCAGCCCCTGGAAATCGCCGCCATCTCTTCACCGGAGCAATCAAGCCGCAGCCCCGGTGCATCAACCCTGGACCAGCCTCCTGTTCTGAAGAGGGAGCGCCCCCTGGAGGTCAACGGCACCGGTCGTTACTCCTCCGCGCCCAGCACTGATGACGAGGACTCGGGATACCCGGCTGAAAGCACCAGTTTACGGTAACTCCCTTCAAACCAGTCATTCCTGCGACATGTTGTTTTTCATTTAATGTGTGTTTATATTCACGGCGTCAGGGTTTTCCGTTCAAATATTAACTGTAAATATGGCTGATTATTATTGGCACGGACCAACTTCTTCCTACGTCGTTGCCATAGGAAGAAAATTCCGTCATAAACTGAAGACCACCTATGGATGACAATCAAAAGTCTGTTTTTATTGAGAATCACTCAATGAATATTCAGTTTCAATCCAGGTTCTGGTATCACTCATATTTTCCCGTCATGGTCATGAAGTCAAACCAGGCAAATGTATTTTTCAAAATACCTTTGAAAACAAACTTATGTCATCTTTATAAACATATTCGGAGCCCATTATTTAAGAAGTGAGGCTAAAGTAAAAAAAATTAATTACATAAATAGGGCCACAAAATGCCTTCAGACCATTGAGAAAGATCAGCTGCGTTGGTTATAAATAAAAAATAATAGTAATAGCTTTGATTTACATCGCACCTTTTAAGGGACCCAGTATTTAAAAAGATTGAATTTAAAACAAGAAAACGTGGATTGATTTTGAGTTGTCTTTATTTCACTTTATTTTTTTGACTTGCTATGACATCTTTTTAGGAGCAAAGCTTTACTCAAATGTAGTGATTCGAAGTATAAGGTGACTCGTTCATCACACAGCGGCATTTCTGTGGATTTTTATGTGCCTGTTTCCGTTGTAGGATTGAAAGGAAAATTGCTACGATATCCTTGGAGAGCAGAGACGGACCCGGTAGACTCGGTGAAAGTGAAAGAGGTAATGAGCCATGCTTCACGTTTTCACAATTTAAAACATTTTCCGCCGGTTTTAATAGCATGCTTGTTAGACACTTTGTCAAAAGTACCGCAAAAAAGAAAAAAAAAGTCTCCACTTCCCACTTCCTGTTGCGTTTGCTAGGCAGGAAGTCAGGCTGCAGCAGCGGTCACAGCACAGGCAGCGAGGCCTCCTCCTCCTCTTCCTCATCCTTGTCCTCTACAAGCAAATGGAAGTCAACCTTTTCACCCATTTCTGACCCCAAGCAACCCAACTCTGACCTCAGACAAGGGGGCTCTCCGTTTGGTATGGGAGCGTCAAACTCGGACGCCGATTACAAACAACACCATCAACAGCCCAGGAAGGGAAACGATGGCGAGCTATCCAGCTACACGAATCCCAACCCTTTCCTGAGCCAAGAGGCTGCCAACCGAAGCACTGGTAGCGGAGGAGGTCAGGCTGGCAGCGGTTCTGACCCCCGCCAGATTGTACAGAAGCAGAAGGCCCCTCGGGATTGGGAGCTAAAGACAAGTAGCGGCCATTCCAGTCAGAACATCTTCATAGCCGCTGCCGCCGCCAGTAGCGGCGCAGGCATTCTGAGCGGCAAAGTCGGTGGAAGCCCTGTCACTGTTTCGACAGGATCCTCAGTGGGTCAGTACCTGGGCTCTCAGTTCCCACTTGGAGGGACCTCGGTCTTACAGTCGTTGTTCGGGGCCCAGACAGGAAGCTCCGGCGCCAGCGCCAACACACGACTGGTCAATGGACACTCTGGCCTGGGCAGCTTCTCTAGCGCCGGGCTTGCAGGTGGAGCAGCAGGAGGTGAGTGAATTCGGTTTTGTTTTCGGGTTTTATTCGTCCCCGTCAGTAGCATTAAAGAGTCCGAGCGAGGGATAGTGTTAGCCTTCCTGTGAAAGGGAAAAGAACAGGCCCGCTAACGGTGAGGTAAGTGGAGGTTCAAGCTGTTGCTGCGACGTCCGGCTAGCTGCGCTGCTGTGCTTTGACTGGCTGCTTGGCTGCAGTTGCGAACACCCTTGGAAAATGCTGCATGGAAACAAAAGAAAGTGACAGTCAATTTGAGCCGACTAAAAGATTTTTAGGTTGGCTGTTTTGTTATTTTCTGTGGGTGTGTGTTTGTCAGAGTCATTTCACTTGCACACTAAAATCTGATTCTGGATTTAAAGGAGACATGTTATGGATTTATTTTGCACCACGATTTTAAGAGTTCCCGGGTGTCCAAACAGAAGGCGCCATGACTTTGCTCGGCAAACAGTACGTATCGTAGAAAGAATTCCGGCTCACTTAATATCCACTTGTTACACTCGGATCGAATTGCTTTGCGGGTGCAGGTTTGTCTCCATAGTAGGAGGTGGTCACCCTTCCGCGTCCAGACTCTAAATTATTGGTCCTTTAAGTCTCCACCGGAAAATTAATTTGTCGCCAGTAATTGGGGTGTCATTCATTTTTGAGTTCAGGAGCCACATTCACCCCTGACTCTTTTTCCTGCTGTATTGGTGCAAGCAATTACGAATATATTTTTTATAATATTCACATTACATTATCTAAACTACTTGTTAAAGCTCGAGTAATCATTGTATGTTGACGTCAATGTCCACATGTCTGAAAACAAAATAAATGCTGCTTGTTCAATTTATACATATTAATAATAAAAGTTGTGTCAGTGCACGAACAAAACCCAAAAGGGTTCCACCAAATCAACCTCTTAAGCTGAAGCTCTTGACTGACATTTTTGCAATATTCAGTGGTTCAAAATATTTCGGCGTATTTAGGCATTCATTCTCACAAAAATAAAATGTCGCGGCAGGAGAAAATTCGCAACAAGTTACTTGAATTGAAAACATTTCAATTGTGTTCTAAAATATTTACACTTTGCCTCAGTCATCCCAAAAAACAAACAAAAACAACATACATGCAGGGCCAAGTCCCCCTGTAACACCCCAGCCAGATACAAAGCTTGTCCGTCAGTCTTGTTTGTGTCACTTTCAACACAAAAGGTTTACAAGGCTGAAGTGGGTGGGCAGGCACTCCTGAGACCCAGATCGTCCATTTTCGGAGCATAATATGTCCCCTTTAAAGCAAATCCAGTTGTTCTTTTGAAAGGAACAGTGATCTGACTCTGTTTTGCTTTGTGTGTGCTTATCTGGAGACTGGCTTGGCGCTACCTCGCTCAGCCCTTGCTTCTCTACCCCCCCCCCCTCAACCCCCTCCTCCTCTTCTTTGCTCCTTGTATCTGCTTCCCTGCTGTCTTGCCCCCTCGACTTCCTCCATTTCTGCTATATGATTTGCAGGTTCCTTTCACCACGCGGTTCCCTCAGTGTCCTCCCATCAGTTTGGGGTGTCGCTGCCCACCTCCGGAGGCCTCGGCTCTCTGCTCAGTCTCTCCTCCCCCCAAACCGCTTCCGCGCCCTCGCCTCTCCCTCCCACCCCGTCGCAGGTCCAGCATAGTCGCACCCAGTCGGTGCTGCACAGCCCCTCCGCCCCCACGCACTCTCTGCCCCCTCCGCCGCCCCTGCACAGCGCCCCCTCCTCCTCCTCCACGTCGGCGCCCACGCCCGCCAACACCCCCCCGCCGCCCCACGCGTCCCGTCTCCCGCACGCCTCGCTTCATCACCCGAGGGTCCACACCCTCACTGTCTCCTCTTCCTCCTGTGTCGTTCTCTCCGCCCCCCCTTCTTCCTCTTTGTCGTCCTCCACGTCTCGTCCATACGCAGTGCACTACTCGCCCCGCTTGCCGCCGCCGCCTCCCGCCAGCAGCTCAGGTGGTGGCGGGAGCATGCGGAGGACTCAGGGCACACATGGCACCTTCACCACCACCACCCCGCTCCCTGGCTCCCGACCGAGATAGGTTTTGGGGTTGAGGGGCTGGGGGAGGTTGTGTTGCGGGCAGATAGAGAGAGAGAGCGGGACTTATAGGGAGTTCATTGTTCTAAATGAACAAGGTAAGTTCATCCTGCAATATTAGAATGACAGTCATTTTTGAGTATGACGTGGTGTTTGCCCCTTTTCCACTGCAAGTCTGTGTTTGGGTCAGTGTCATCCCTCCATTCATTTTCTACTACGCTGGACCCCTGCACACATGCAATTCAGCACCTATCAACATTTTTTTTTTTTTGGTTAGAAATCCATCCATCCATTTTCCAATCCGCTTATCCTCACAAGGGTCGCGGGGGGTGCTGGAGCCTATCCCAGCCGTCTTCCGGCAGTAGGCGGGGGACACCTTGAACTGGTGGCCAGCCAATCGCAGGGGCGCACACACAAATGAACGAACACCCATTCTTGTTCACACTCACACCTAGGGACAATTAGAGTGTTCAATCAGCCTGCCATGCATGTTTTTTTTGGAGTGTGGGAGGAAACTGGAATACCCGGAGAAAACCCACGCAGGCCCGGGGAGAACATGCAAACTCCACACAGGGAGGCCGGAGCTGGAATCGAAACCGGTACCTCTGCACTTTGAGATCGACGCACTAACCACTTGACCACCGGGCCGCCTTTGTTAGAAATGTTTTAAAATATTAAAACCCTTTTTTCATGGAAAAAGCGAACTGGAGGTCAAGCATTTGTTTGCGTTTAAAATTTGGCTTTTGTTTCTCATACGTTTATAACGGGAATTCTACACAGATGTTCGCTATTGGCGGCTGGCCATATACTGAAGTGACGCGCTCCTCCCGATTTACTCACAAATCTGTGTATGTACCTACTGCCCTCTAGTGGATGAGAAGGCAACTGTTCTGCTTGTCACTGTGCTGCTGTACATCAACAAAGGTACATTTTCTGGAGCAAAATAATACATTTTGTACAAATGAAGCGAAATTTGATCACAAGCAATAATAAGGCAGCAGCAACAGGCTAACCTAGACCACTAGAGTACTCGAAACGGTACCTGGTAAACTTCAATAGGAAGTGGAACCTTGCATTGGAAAAGGGGCAATGCTCTCTTTTTATGGGTCAGTAAAATGACCGAGCACATGTTTTGTTTTGTTTGGCCTTTCAGGTAATTGCTGAAAACTACCTCATCGTTTAAAAAAAAAAAAAAAACAACAAAACTATGCAAATATCCAGGTGTGGACCCAAGGCACTCTGCTCCTCGCTCACTGGTGCTTTAATAAGTCGAGACTACCGGATCGCCTCCAAGACTGGCTTCTGTATAGGGACACACACAGGCACACACACATGTACAAACACAAACGCTGCAGCAATCATGAGCAGAATTCAAAGGAACCGGTCTTGTTTCGATCTCAAATCTTTTTTAGAAAGCAGAAAGAAATGAATTAATGCAACAAGCACACGATTTCCTCTTTTGGAGGAGCCACTTCCTGTTTGACCTGTTCATTGGTATCTGCTCAGATGTCACAAGCGTGTCTTTTTGTTTTAGTTTTTTTGTTTTTTTCTGACGTCTGAACTATGTAACAAGATGAGGAAAGTCATGTTTTGATGACGTTCACACTGGATAACAACATACAGTTGCATTTGTAGCATTATGGTTTGTATCATTAGGATCCATCCATCCTTTCATTCAAAAGTTAACGGTGAAAAAGCGCTTGAATGGAACTAATCCGGCTGCTTTCAGTTCACCGAGCTCAGATTTTCTAACTGGATCAAAGCAATTCCGTTTTTCTTTTTCTCCTCAGTAACATCAGACTTTTGATATACATAATCAGTAGAGGTTCCGGACTTGTCGGCGGACATAAAAAAAAAAAAAAAGCATTGACTCCAAAATCTGTTCATTTCTGCCTAGCAACAGTCAAGGCGTGAACACAAATCAATATTCTGCTACGAAATGGTGCTCTGTGTTCGTTCTCTCTGGCACTGCTGTCGAGTTAAGTGAAGCTAAATCCAGGTAGATAATATCAATAATAATAATGACAGGAAGAGAAAAAAAACAGAAGCGCTGCATGTTTTTCTGTATTTATTATTATTATTATTATTATTATTCATGTTTTTCCAAGTGTGGCACTACTTTGAGACCTTCTCAAAGCAGGAATTTTTTTTTTTTAACCTTCTTAAGCTGAAATTTGTATATTTATTTGAGCTGCTGGGTGCCGCGGATGGACACCGAGGTTTTACGACAGGAAAATGCGCTAAACACACACACACACACACACACACACATCCTCACACACTGGGAAAATCTTTTTACCATTTGCCACAACAAACTACTGGACTACTTCACACTTTTTTTTTTTTTTTGTGTGTTGTCGTTTTTTATGTTTGTACTGTGAATATGATTAATTCTCTTGACTGTACAGTTGTTAGACTTATATATTTATGTCCCCCTATTTCCCTTTTTTTTTTCTTTAAAAAAAAAACAAAAATCCTGAAATATGTTGTACAATGCAATATAGTATGTGAGTCGCTGTCAGAAAACAATGGTGCTAAATTTGGACCGTGCCTGATTTTATTTATTCTTCCAGTGGAAAAATATCCCAAAAAAAAAATCAAAGGCGACACATTGTGCTATACACAGGGATTTCTTTTTTATTTTATTTTTTATTTTTTGTAAACTCCCCCTTTTTGGCCTTTAAATTTCTTCTATTTAATATTGTATTGGGGTGTCCAACACTTTTGGATAAACATTCAGTGGACAAAAAAAAAAAAAAAAACACCACTGTTTTGTACAAAATTGCCAATGCAAAGCTATATTTAATAATATGTAATTACATATGTCTAAATATATATATATATGAGGAAAAGAAATTCTATCGGTGCTGCATTGTGACTCCCACATTCAGTCTTCAGCCACCACATGACCTTAACATGCCCAGGTGCTGTGGCGGAGCGAACATGACGGGATGTTTTCCTGTCTTTTTTTTTTTTTTTGGTTTTGTTTTCATTTTCTTAAACTCTGCAGGAAAAAAAACAAACGGTGCTTCTGTTTTAAACATGAAATTGAACAATTAATGGTGCAAACAAAGCGACGTGTCTTATGGAAGAAGCCCTTCCGAGGATTTTCGGGGTACTGCAAGAGCCGCACTTGTTTTTTGAGTGTGTCTTGTGTTTTGAACACAATTGCTGACTTGCGGCCCACGGTGACATTTTTTAAGAACCAAGAACACTTTGCAGAACCTGATAGGAAAAAAAAAAGCCCCTAGAAAGGCAACCCACAAATGCTCATTATACATTGCTCACAAAAAGTTTCATATTTTGGGCTTTCGGCTGAAATGTCGAGATGTTGGGCACGGCTGCTGCGTTGTTAGCATGACTTGTTCATGATCGTGCGGCGAATACTAAATGTTACTGGTTTGGAATGTTTGTTCTTGGCATGTACAATCATTTATAAAAAAATCAAAAAAGAGGTGATAAAACGATCCCGTCGGGCAGAAATGTTGCTAGTTTCGCATCGCTTCTGCATTTTCCTCAGATACTTGTTCACTCTAGTCGGGGATCTCTCCATTTACTTCTTTATAACTTGGGTGTGCTAATAGTCAGTGGATATTCCGCCAGAGTTTCAGCAAAGCTCCTCAAGCACAGCGTAGCGGCCCCCTCGCGGACCAGACTTTGTCACCTGAGAGTAAGACGTATAGAGAGGGATGATTCTTCCCTCCCTGACCCCTCAATTCTTCCTGCCCGCCTCATCACTTTTCACAGATAATACGAGGACATCTAAAACAGGCTGGAAAGGGAGGGGCTCTCGAGGACCCGACTTGGGCACATTTGTATTAGTCCAGTCATGGATCAAGAACCCATTTTCAAATTTGCCATTTGGCTCCTTGTTATTGAGCAGCGAATTGTGCAAAAAGGGCTCAAATGCTAAACAGTTGGACATGTACACTCCAAAAGTTTAGTGAAGGTTCAAGCGCATTTTAGGTTGATCTTGAAATTTCCTCCCAAAGCCCAATATGCTTTACTTTGAGTCGTGTATATCTCATATCTGAGCTGATGTTAACCCCCCCCCTCTAGTTCATTTGTCGCCAGCACTGTCTTTTTTTTTTTTAATCATAGGTGTCAGTTCCCTCATCTTCCTTCAGTTTAATTTTGTCTTACAGATTGCTGTCCTGTTTGTAGAACCGTTAGTCAGACAAGACAGTTTGGTGCTCCTTCAACATCGTTCAAAATGCCACTCCTCGAGCTGTTGCTTCGCTTTCTCGCCAGTAAACTTTCCACGGAGGGCTCGTCGGGGCAGCTTTTCGGGATGTGCAAGTGAGAACCTGCATTTTTGTCGCAGCTTGCAGACACTTTTGTAGCGCATTGTAATCGGAGTTTTAAATACACAGCACATTGTTGTCGCGTCAGCAGTACGATGTCTGGTCAAAATACAAAGGTGGACAAGTAGCCTCAGAAGTTAAACGCAATTCCAGGTTTGTGTTAGTTTGGGTTTCACAGAGAAAATGGGTTGATTGATGTCGATTGCATTAGCTATTGGACATTTAGCTTTCCCTGAAGAACATAAAACGACTCGTGCTTGTTTCTGAACCGGACGGTATGTCCTGTTTTGCCTTCAAAAGGGTGTCAGAATTTTGTCAGTTTCTTTGTTGTACAAAAAAAAAATTTGAAATTATCCAAAATATGGATTAAATTATATAAATGTATTTGACACACAATCCAACATTTTCCTAGCATGTTGAGTTCTTAGAACCTTATATACGCTAAGCCACTTTCACCGTATAAATGCTAAATGGTATATCTTTTTTTTTAATCGAATTTTACGAACAACAGTCTGAACTTTATTCGATTCCGCGGGCCACATAAATTGATGTTGCGGGCCAGATCTGGCCCCCCGCCCTTGAGTTTGACACCTGCCCCTTAAGGTAGAAAGGAAGTTGATCGTGAACATTTGTTTTTTTTTTTTTTTTTTTTAAACTCGAAGACAAACATTAAAAAAAAAAAAAGTTTCTTTTGAGGCTTGGAGATGGACCCCCCCTTGATTGGGAGTATGAAGCGACCATCTTGTAGAACCCGAAACCTTGCTGTCCAAGGCCTCAAATGCTCAGTCCTGCCAAAGCACTTACCTCAGGAACTTTTTTAACGCATCTTTAAACTTGGTCGCTATATCTTAAAGGACAATCTTTGTGGGGGAAATAAGAATTCGGGGTTCTCACTGGCACATCCGTCCAGCCTCGGGAAACTCCGCGAGTCAGCGTCAACCTCTCAAACTACGGCATGGTGGCGCCTTTTTTTTTCCCCGCATGCGGTGGTCCTGCACCGTGAATGGTGTTGACTGTTTGAGGGAGGTGTTGGAGGGTGGGGGGAGAGCAGCCAGGAGAAGGTGCAATGACTGCAAAGCCCGGCTTGTCGTGGAGTCGTGTGTTTTACTAAAGTGTGGTGATGGTGCTTTCATCCTGAAATGTAATCATGACAAATGGAATATTTGTGTTGCTTTTCGCCCCCTCTGCATTTTATGAATAGTAATAAAATGTTTCATATGATCTTTGCATTTTGCCGTCACATTTATTGTTGCCCGTAAAGGAATTTGATCGATTATACAGGATTCCTGAGTCAAAATAGCTGATGTGAAAGGTAAGATGTGTCGTTTCAATTGCCAGAGGTTCAATAAACACTGATCTTCATTGGAGGGGGGAATATGTGTAAAAAGTTTGACGAATTTGCAATTAGTCTTTAATGGTTTTGATAGTTTTATATTTCAATATTTTCTCCAATGTGGCATAAAGGAGCCAAAATCCAGTATGCTGATTAGATATTTTCCCCCAAAAAATCGTGGAAAGTTTTATTTCTTTCCGTAATTCCCAATCAAGTATAGAAGATTGACATACTGTTTTGAAAATACCAGATTTTCATTGAATAGATGTGATCCTAATTTTTTTTTCACCGCTGCAAAAAATAAGTACATGGGAATTTTTTCATAGCATTGTAGTTTTTGGAAATCCAGTTTTTGTGGGTTTTACAAGCTGGAAACCCAAATTATGTTTAAAAAAATGCTTGAAATTATTTAAATTGTGGGCCCAGAATCTATAATCTATGAAAGGTTAACTTTTTTAAATAGAATAATGGAAATTAATGTTCATGAAGTATCAATTTGAAGTGAGGAATTTGTCTACATGGGATGTGTGATGACTTGATTCGAGCACGAGGCGTCTTTCAGATGAAACGTTTGCGTTCTCAAGACGTCTATTTGAAGCGAGGCATTTTAACAAACTTTGAGGTGAGGTGTTTATTTGTGGGTGAGACATCCTCAAGGGGGAGGCATTTACAGTATGTATTCTCAAGATGTCGTCTACTCGAGGTGAGGCACGTAATTGCTGGTTCTGCAACGTCAATTTGAACAGAAGTGTGATGCCGGTGAAGGACAAATCGACTTTTGGCCAGGCTCACTTTATAACCTGTTCTTACAAACGTTGCCCATTTTTCCGTGTATTTGTGGATCCCATGCAGGAAAAAACCGGCAGCTGCAATCACTCGTCATCATTCCCAAGTAGGCGACGGGACTTGTTTGGTCCTGCTAAGTTCGAACAATTTTGTCAAACGTGAACTTCCCACTCGAGTCGTGTCCTCCATGTCCGTATCACGGGGTCGTCTCACTGTCACCCGCAGCATTCTTCCAATTTCAAAAGGAGCTGCGAAGCGAAGAAGCGAGGCCGACGTCGAGAGCGGACCACCCAACGAGTCTCCTCGGAAGTTGGGACCTCAGCGCGAGGGGAAGTCTACCACCTGTGCTCAAAATCGCATGCCACGGTCTGCCTATGCTAGCCCATGAAAGGCCAGACGACGGTATATCATATCGTCAACACAAATATGGAGTGTAGCCCAGTAAGGGAAGAACCTTTTTTTGGTGATGCTTGATCATGTCCAAGAATGAGCTTTGGCTGGATGTGTTTGAAGAATCGACCTTGACTGTCTGCATAACTGCACTGCAGCTGTGCGAGCGTCAACACCTCCAAGGAAACAATCTCGTTCTTCGTTGTTGACATTTTTTGGAAGCAAGCGCAATTTCCAACCACCTCAAAACCACACGTGTGCAATAATATGTCCTAACAACCCCCTACAGTTGTAAACACAATATTCGGATGAATATTGCATTGGTGTTAATGACGCAAATTCATTCACTGGTTTACAGCCGTTAAAGGGCGCAGCCATTTGGAGATTCTACCGCCCTCTGCTGGCGACTGGAATTGACATCAACCACAAACGTCGCGGCTCACCTGTTTTCTGGATTCATTCACGTGACATTCGCAATGCCAGCCGAAGGCACTTTGACAAAAAAAAAAAATTGTCAGGCCATTTGATATGCGTCATTCCTTGACTATCCTTTTTATATAACCCAGGCCCCCAGACCTCACTGGATTCCAAGTGCATCAAGGACACGGGATCTTCCTATTTTGGCGAAGCCAGAAGGTTTGTGAGAAAGAACACCCACCCTGTCGATGCCTCACCTCTTAATAACACTTGCGTGCACGTGCAGACGGCAGTGTTCTTTGTGCATGACAGCATGTCGCTGTACGTCTTTCACCGTGGTCTGATAATGCTCTGCTGGATGGGCTGCTGCTGCTGCGTGGTCCTGCCCGACTCTCCTGGATCGCAGCCGGGAGCCACCATGACAGGTGAGACTCATGGGAGACTTTATTAGGTACAACCGCACCATCTTCATTGGCTATGGAAAGTCTGCACACCCTCGTTCAGGTTTTTGTGATATTAAAAAAATGAGACACTCAAGCGTGTG